TTGTTGAATCCTCCCCAAAACCCATGGCTGCCATTGTCTCCTTTTATAGATGGAGGAACAAAGGCTCAGAGAGGTTCAGCCCAGGGTTACACCATTAGGAACCCAGGGCTGTCTGACTCTGAAGTCCGAAGTCTGACTCTCACTTCTACACACCTTTAAAAAATACCTACTGCACACAGTGGCATGAAGATTAGCTCTCATCAGACAGGTAAGGAGAATGATGGCCACGGTGGCTGTTCAATCACAAACTGTCTCCTTTCTTTCTCTGTGTCAGGCCCTGCCTTGGGACTTCCTGACCCAGTGGGCACATAAACAGGAACACCAATAGTCATTCAAGTAGCTGTGGGCCCTGGGAGCACAAAGGAGGGAGCACCCACACCCGAGGGAGCCACGGAGGAGGGGCATTGGGGCAGAGCCTTGGAGGACAAATGGAGTTTCCTCTTTGGGGAGGTAGGAACAACAGAAGCAAAGGCTCAGGGGTGTGGCCTGCACAGGGAAGCATAAACAGTTTGAAGAGGCATGGCTGGGGTTGAGACAGTGGATACCTGGGGGAGAAGGGGTCTGACTGCTATGGAGTCCTGGCCTGATCCGAGGCACTGAGGATTTTTAAGCAGGGAGAGAATAGGATCAGAACTGCTTTCATCTCTGCAGAGGGCCTGGTTGGTGGTTGAACTAAGAGTCAGGAGTGGGACTTCCCCTTGGGTCTCCCTGGCATCCCTCCTCTGAGCTGGCTTCGGGGACCATCCCAGATCCCGTGCTACTCACCCATGGGTCAGAACTGCCCCCGAGGGCTTCTTCCTCGGCCATCACTAGGCTGGGGGGAGCTATGTGGGCCTCTCCTGACACAGGCCAACCTAATCATCTCAGCCTATAAATAGGACTCAGGATTAGTCTGGAAATAGCTGTGCCAAAGCCAACTCCACCAGCATCATGGGCACGCACAGTTCCGGAAATGGTTCTTCTCCTCAACACAATTAAAACCCAACACTTCCTCAGTAAACTATTGTTCACACTCTGCTTTGCTTCCTTAAGCACGAGGCAGTCGGTTTTGGGGGAAGAGAAGAACCTGCCTGCTTACTGCTGATTAGTGGGGGTATGCTTTGTGGAGAGGAGGGCCTTTTCCTGCTTCTCCTTCTCTGAGGACCTGAGGGAGCCACTACCATTCTCTGGGCCTCAGTTTCCCCAAATGTAAACTAGGGAGGTGGGACATGATGCCATTTTTAACTTACCAGGATTTCAAAAATTAGAATTGTAATAAACATGTGAGCAGGGAGAAAGGAACAGGTCCAGGGCCTGCCACGGAGGGGCTGAGTGGCCTCGGATGAGCCACTGTTCCTCTCTGGGCCCCAGATTCCTCAGCTGTAAAATGAAGGTGCTGGGGGATGATGTCCAAGGTCAACAATTTTTTTTAATTTCATTTTTTTGTTTAGTACTTTTGAGAACCCATCCAGCTGGCCATCCTATGCCAGCCTTGTGCTGAGTGCTGGGGATATAGGGACAAGTAAAACCCAGTCCAGGCCTCTGTGTGCCCAGCCCTGTGCCGGATCCCAGTGTGTAACAGCATGTCCAGTCCCCTCAGTGTCCCACTAGAGGCTTCCTTTGGGGCTGCTGGGGACATCTTGTTTCTAGTTGAGAATTCAGATTTACGTCCAAAGACAAGAACTCCCTGAGGGGCAGATTACAACATGGACTGAGCTATTACAATCGACAAGGACACAAAGCTAACACAGCCATCGTTATACACCAGCCATGTGCTAAGGACTTGATTTCCCCATTGTTTAATCATCACCAACTCTATTATCACCCCCATTTCACAGATGTGGAAACTGAGGCTGAGAGGAGTAAGGGACTTGTCCAAGGGCACAGAGCAAGTCAGGGCTACAGTGATGTTTCAGGCCCAGACCTGTTTGCCTCTGGAGCCCAGGGTTTAACACGCCCCAGTGCTGCTGTGAAAGGGCTCTGGACAGCTCAGGCTGGCCGGCCAATGCGGGGATAACAGAACAGGGGCATGGAACAGAAAGGGGCATTGAGGATGTTGCTGTGTGTGTGCGGTGTGGGGAGTGACAAGGCTTCAGCAATGGTACTCATTCTCTCCAACCAGCTCCCAGCGCTGCCGTCCTCTGATCCACCCTCCACTCTGCCTGCCATGGACTGATTGTTCTGAAATCCCATGGATCAAGTCACTCCTCAGCTGAAGACCTGTCCATGATTCCCTGGTACCCAGAGGATAGAAACCTAGTATTTAAAACCTCTCTGACCAGGTCTTCCGGTCAGCTCCCCACCTCAACCCTCACACTCCTGCTCACTAGCCCCCAGGCATAGTGGGCTCCTCCAGCGGCCAAGCCTTCACCTATGGGGCCTTCTTGCCTGGAATGCCCAACTCCCCCTTCTCAGCCTTGTTTGACTCTCAAGTAGGAAAGGCACTCTTTGGCTCCCTGAGCCCTTTGGCACTTATCACAGAGCACTCTGGGCGTTAACTGCCACTGTCTCCGTCTTGGATTAGAGGGGATATCCAAGGGCCGGGTGGTGTCTGATTCACCTCCCTCTCCAGAGCAGCAGCTCAGCAAGGGCTGACCGGGTAAACTAAAAAATGCAAAGAGCCGAAAGAATTCTGGGAAAGTACACGTTTCCCAGGACTGCCCAGTGACAAGCACCATACTGAGGCACAGCATCAGGACACCCTGCTGTGGAAGAACCAAAAATTGCACCCTCATGGCTTATCAGGATGGTCCTTGTGTCTGTCTCTTTCAAGGGTTCTGATAATGAAATCTGGGCAAGTCACCCTCCTGCTTTAAAACTTCCAATGGTTCCCAGAGGTCTAGCATAAAATCCAAACTCAAGAGCCCACATAACCTAGATGCTGCCTGGCCCCCAGGTCCTCCTCTTGCCATGCCCCCTCCCTGGCCAGCCTCCCTCCCTTCTTTCAGTTCTTCAAGGACTCCCCCACACTAAAGCCTTACCCAGACTGCCTCGTTGCCTGGGGGGCTGCTCCGTTCCCTGCTCGCTCAGCCACCTCCCTCTCCCTCTTCAGGTCTCACTTTTTAGGGGAGGCTTCCCTGATCTGTCCAGATAAGACCTCACCACTCCCACCCAAATCCACACGCTCCCATAACCCGATCGTTTCCTTCACAGCAAGAATTAATCTTTGGTGTAAATAATGATCTACCGGAAGACCCATGAGGAATGGGAAGGTCTTGTTTTTTGCTGATTCTCAAACGCCCAGCTCAGAGGCTAAATATCTCTCAAATGAATGAAGATATGAATGGATGAATGAATGAATGAATGAATGAATGAATGAATGAATGAACCTATATACATATATCAAGACAAGAAGGTGGGCAGAATCCTAGGGAACACTGAGGCAGAAAAAACAGGGCCCTGGGCCGGGCATTGTGGCTCACACCTGTAATCCCAGCAGTTTGGGAGGCCAAGGTGGGCAGATCACTTGAGGTCAGGAGTTTGAGACCAGCCTGGCCAACGTGGTAAAACCCTGTCTCTACTAAAAACACAAACATTAGCCAGGTGTGGTGGCACACGCCTGTAGTCACAGCTACTTGAGAGGCTGAGGCAGGAGAATCATTTGTACCTGGGAGGAGGAGGTTGCAGTGAGCTGAGATCATGCCACTGCACTCCAGCCTGGGCACCACAGCAAGACTCCGTCTCAAAAAAAAAGAAAGAAAGAAAGAAAAAGAAAAACAGGACCCTAACTAAAAAAGACAGGAGGAAAAACAGGGCCCTAACTAAAAAGAGAGGAGGGGCTCTAACTGAAAAAAAACCAGGGCCCTAACTAAAAAAGACAGGAGGAAAAACAGGGCCCTAACTAAAAAGAGAGGAGGGGCTCTAACTGAAAAAAAAAAAAACCAGGGCCCTAACTAAAAAAGTCAGGAGGATAAACAGGGCCCTAACTAAAAAGACAGGGGGAAATAAACCAGACAGTGCAGCCTCCCAGAAGCAAAAGGAGGGAGTTTCTAGAACTGCACTAGAGACTGGTACATGGAATCCTGAGGAAAGCACTAGATTGGACATTGAGGAGGTCACTGGGGCCTCCGTGATTGAACCAAGGTTCCGTGGAGGTGGGCACAGGGCTGGTACATTGCAGGGGCAGAGGAGTAAAGGGGGGTGAATAAGCAAAGCTCTCAGGTAATGGGTGCTCAGCTGGGCCTATGCCAGCCTGGCCCTGCAGGGTCTATGGAAGACAGGGCCCCTGTGTCACAGTTACCAAAAGCATCAACAGGGCATAACATTCTTTTTGTTGACAGATCACTTTGAGGTAACTTGGCTTTTGGAGTTGTCAGGGCTCAGTCTCAAAGGCAGGCGCATCAGAGCCAAGACTCGGCCCTCAATTCCTCCTATTAGGGCAGCACTAGGGCCACCTCTTTGTCACCAAAACCTTTGGGTAGCAGCTGATGGGGCGAGTCACCTTTCTGGGCCCAGCAGGCCTTTCGGGAATCCCTGGCTTTTGGGGTACAACATCCTGGGGACCATCAAAAAGCCCTTTCACCTGAGCTTTGGGAAAGAGGAACAGCTCCGGCTGTGGGCGGCTCGTGTCACCATCTGGAAGCCAGCTGGGCCACAGCAGACGTGTAAGTCCTGTGTGCATTCACCCCCTTCTCCTTTTGGCAGAAAAGGGATGGTGTGGGCTGGAGGGGTGTTTTCCTGGGTTCTTGCACAATTGCTAATTAGAAATTCACTTCTGTTTGGGTGTTGGAAGCTGGGCGATTCCCCCTAGTAGCGATCCTTCCTGTCTCACTGGTCACAAAGCCTTTTGGCATCTACGAGCTCACTGGGTCCACAGAGCAGCTTTGTTAGGTGGGTGGGGGAGACCAAGGCACCTGTCTTACAGATGGAAAAACCGAGGCTGCAGCTGGGAGGTGAGCCAGTCTCCTGGCTTCCAGCCCAGGACTCTGCACTCCTCCCCCCACCTCCCCGCCTACCTCAGCAGGTCACCTGTGAATCTGATAGTCAGGTGGGCCCCACCCTGCCAGCTGGCCCCAGTGGGCATGACTCATCCGACTTCCCCATGACTCACACACCTCGGGTGCTCCTCCTCTGGTCAACAAGTCTGGAGACTTGGCAAATGGATCCCCATTTTTCCCACCTCTCCAAAGCCTCTGGGAAGAATTCCTGCACCTCCTCTTTATGGGGACTCTACTCTTCTACAGAAGAGCCACCAAGGCCTTGAGAGGGAAAGCCACTCTCCTAAAGTCACACAGCAAGCAGGCAGCACAGCCAGGGTGGGAGCCAGGCATCCGGGCACTGAGCCCAGTCCCTGCCTCCTCCCCACAAGATCACTCTCGCCTGACCTCCCTCTCAAGGGCAGGAAAGGAGCAGAGACGCACCCTGAGCCTTATTGGGAAGACCTCAGGGACTCCCACTGAATCCACTGCGGCTACAGTGGCTGCTTCCACCACTGAAGTCCCCTCCAGGCTTCCCTGGGCAGCCAGGGTGGGGTTTAACAGGAGGACAGGTGTCTGCATTGCTCTACCTACCTAATAGGACTGTGCAGGGTGAAGAGCGCTGCTCTGTGGGAAGGCACCCGGACCAAGGCCGAAGCACTGGACAAAGAGCTATGAGCACCACCTGTAAAAAAAGGGCACAAGAATGTCAGCCTCAGGGGGAGTTCAAGGTTATCTGGTCAAATCCCCATTTGATGTTTCAACTCCTTTCCTCCCCTCCACCAGGGGTCACACAATCAGTACTTGCACACATCCGGCAACAGGGCACTCACTACCTGCCAAGGCTGCAAGACCTGCTGCTGGAGGGTTTGGCTGGGTAAAAGAATTTTCCTAAGGACGCACTAAAATCTCTCTCTTCTTATGCCTTGTACCTGCTGGTACTAGCTCTGCCTCCTTCTGGGTCAGCCAGAACAGGTCTGTCCCCGCCTTTCCTGATGGCTCTTTGGAGATTTGAAGATAGTGATCCTGGGCCCCTCAAGTCTTCTACAAAGTGTGCACCCCCTTTCCTCCAGCTCTTCCTGAGACCAGGGTTTCTGGTTCGCTCACCCTGTTCCCTGATCTGCTCCAGATGAACTCTGTCCCTACTGACAGGACAAGACCCAGAATTAGACAATCAGACAAGCTCTACCCAGGGCAGGGCGAGCAGGACTCTCACCTCCTTCATTAGAGATATCATGCTTCTATTAATTCAGCCTAAAATCCCATTCACATTTAAGGCAGTCCTATTGCATGGCTGAATTCAGTTTACAGTCAACCTCAGAGTTGTACTTTAGGACTCTGGAGTTATATAAACTGGGCCCTGACTTAACTGTGTAAGTTGAGCAAGCTACATCACTTCTCCGAGTCTCAGTCGCCTTCTCTGTTCAAGAGGGATAGTATTAGAACCTACAATGAGATCAAACATGTTCAGGGTTTTGCACAAGGCATATGTTTACCCTAATTATTACCCTGGTTATTAATAACTAAATTTCTAAGTCTTTTGCCTGCAAATTGTATCTTTCTCATCCTGCACATGTGTGGTTTGGGGACCCACCCTGTTGATTTGTCATATTCGCAGCTCTGTGCCTCAGCATCACTCTATTATTGTTCTAATGCACTACAGCTGAGCAAGACTACATTATCAATGTCTGGTGACAGGACTTTCTCTCCCTCCAGGCTATCAGCTCCTCAGAGGCAAGGATTCTGTCTGCTTCACCTCTGAAGCTTCAGCATGGCATGTGCCCAGCAAATGGCAGAGCCAGTGGACATATGCTAGATGAGTGGATGAAGGACCACCCCACATCAGCTCATTGTGGAGTATGCAGCTCAGTCCCCCCGCTTCTCAGGGACAACTTGGATCTTCACCCTTCCTCGCCACTAAGAATTCCAGTCAGCTACATTCAGAGGAAAGCTGAGCAAACTGGCTCCTGCCCACACTGGAAAATTTCTCTGCCTAAACCAGCTTCCCCAAGTCGAGGGGAAGGTCCAAGATCCTGAAGGTGGCAGGGCCATGCAGGCTCCTGGGATTAAGACACAAACAAGCCCTGTTCTCAGGCTGACAGTAAATGATCCAGACAGTCTTGATGACTTGTGCATTGTGACTGACACGGGATACAGCCACGGAGGTGGAGTCACGGTACCCAAAACCAGAGACATCAGAGGCAGACACTTATCTGGGCTGCAGGACCTGGTGCCCACTTCTGTGAGCCTTTCTCAAAGACTATGGCGGAAACTTCCTGGTTCCAAGGGACAGGCCAAAGCAGAGCTGGGTTTTGTTGTTCCCACAAATGACTAATGACCTCCCGCACTATGTCAACTCTGTGTGAGGATGAGCCTTTCGAATCCAGCTCCACTTCTTTCTACACACCCCAAATTGCACTCTCATCCTCAGATGCATATTGCAGTGCTGCATTTGTTCCCAAGTGCAACCTGCTCCTTCCCAACTGCACCTCATCTCAGCAAACAGCACTACCATCCACCATCCACCATCCACCCAGTGGACCAGGCTCTCACCCTCCTCAACACACCACCTCACCCCTTTGCTCTGTCACTCTCCCCTCCAATGTATCACCATGTCTTGCTAGTTCAACCCCTGACTGCCTCCAGAGTGTCACCCCTTCTCTCCACCTCAACGCCAACATCTTGGTCCATAACCCCATCACCTCTCGCCTGCATGACTGCAGAACCTTCCTAACTGATCCTCCTGCATCCTCTCCCTCCTACAATGCATCCTCCTCAGAGCAAGCCCAGACCATGCCACTCCTCTGCCCAGACTCTACCATGGCTCCACTGTGGCCCCAGATAAAGTCCAAGATCCTTAACAAACCTCTCCACATTCTTCAAGACCTGTCCCCTTCAACTCCTTCAGCCTCAGCCCTCATGGCTTCCTGTCTTCCACTATACCCCACCAGGCTCCAGCCAGATGCAACGGCACTCTGTTCCTGAGTCCTCCATGTAGTTTCCGCACAGACCTCCACACCCACTAGTCTTCCTAGTCACACTCTACAGTCTATTTGCAAGTCAGCCTCCCCAGTTGCTCCCAGAGCCTGGCCTAGGGCTGGGACCACCGCAGCTCCAGATTTACCAAAGAAAGAAACTATGACTCCCATGCGTGCACACGTGTGTAACATACGTGCACATGCACACACACATTCGTAGAACCGGCTAAGAGTGCAGATGCTGCCATCTATGGGCAAGAAAAGCATTACACCCTTCCTGAGATTCAGACACACCCCAGAAGCCTCCAAGCTCTCAGACTCAGCAGGGTTTAGAATTAGCCTCAGCTAACTCCAAGTTGGTCTGTTTTCCATTTTGGACCTTAAGGCTGCAGCAGTTTAAAAACAAAGTCGGCAAAACCACTGACTCTAGTCCACCGCCCACACACTCCAGATGGAGCCATAAAGAGAAGGGTTGCGTTCCAGCACTCACAATCCCAGCCCGGGGCTCTCACTACGTGCCTGTTTGCTGAATCATATCTTAGGGCATAGGAACAGAAGATGCCTTCCAATAGTCTCAGCTGTGGAAAGGCCAGCCTTTGGGGAGAGAGCTCGCCTGGTGAAAGTGTGCAAGCCACCACAGAACCCTGTCTGTCTACGTGGCTAAAAAGGAGCTTTCCGCTCTGGAGGTGGGATCGGGGGAGGCTGGAGCAGAGCATTTTTCTCTCCTAAAGGACTGCTCCCAGTTCATTGGAAGGGCCTTCAGACCTGATGGGAGTAACATGATGTCTGTCTATTAATGCCATAAGGGTTCCAATGGCCACCCCTAATAACCATAGTTATCATTTTCTGTGCATCTTCCAAGCCTTAAACTCTGCAGGCATCATGTCTCATTGTTGCAATAACTCTACCAGGCAGCAATCTTTGTCCTCATTTTGCAAAGCTAGGACACAAGCTCAGAGAGGTGAAGTAATGTGCTCAGGGTCACACAGCTAAGATGCCTGGGCTATTCCCACCAATGCAGGCTGCCTCCCCTACGTCTTAACCTCACTATATTTCAAAGTTGTAAGGCTAGGCCTCTTGCTCACTAGAAAAACAAACAAACAAACAAAAAACACGCAAATCTTCGGGTACTCTAGCTCATGGGCCAGCAAAGTTTTTCTGTAAAAGGCCAGACCGTAAATATTTTAGGCTTCATAGGCTACACACCCTCTCTGTTGCATATTCTTCCTTGTTTGTTCGTTATTGTTGTTTTTTAACAGCACTTTAAAACTATAAAACCATTCTTAGCTTAGAGGCATACAAAAACAGACTGGGGCCTCCCCAGGGCTGTAGTTTGCATCCATAAATACAAAGAGAATAATGTTTATAATCACAAATACAAAAACTTCTGGTGAAAAGGTTGATCAAATGCTAGCTGTATTTCTCCCCTTCCAATGGCTTTCTACTGAGTCACTCTCTCTCCTAAAGAAGGACCCTACTTTGCTCCATCATTAAGCAGCAAAGTATTTCAAGGGCTGTTCAGATTCTAGAAACTCATAGCTGCAGGTAAAATAGATAAGCCAGATATCGAAGACAAGACATTACAAGATCTGGGCTCCAGACTAGACCCTGTTACTGTGACTGGCTCTTTAGCCCTGAAACAAGGGACTTGCCTCTTAAGCCCCTTTTCTCATAAGTATTGATTCTACATGAATAATAGATTGATTTCAAATCTTACAACTGAAAATGTGATCCCTGGACCAGCGACATCAGCATCACTAGAAATGCAGAGCCTCAGGCCCCACCCAGACTTGTGGAACCAGAATCTGCATTTTAACAAAAGCCCCAGGTGATCTTAGAATGCTCTAGAACATATTTTCTGTCCATCTGAAACATAGTCCACAAAATCTTTGTTAGCAACGAGGAGAGAAAGGGTCTACAGACCTCTTTCATGATGTCATGGTATTAAGCCCCTGACCTAACGCACGGACCAGTGACTTCATAAAGCACTCCACTCTAGGACCAATTGACAGACCAAGATCTACTACCGGATCTTAAAGTAAAACCTTAGCCAGGCAGAAAGTAGACCTAGGGGAACAGGAGAAGGTGCTACTCCCCATATTATGGAGTGCTGGGGGGAATAGGTTAGAGAGAGAAATGACTTACCCAAGACCACACAGCCAAGACAAACTAAGTGGGCATGACCACCACCAGGTTTCTTAATCTTCCTTAGTCAGGCCTTAGGTTTCATGAGAACTGAAATCATTTCGGTTTGGTAGAGCAGCAATGAGAGGGCTTGCTGTTGGCTTTGGGAAATTCACTTGCTCTCTCAGGGCACAAGTATCTGTAGCCATGAAGTGAGCGGGTAGAGCCAGGCGATTCGTAAGGCCCTGCCATAAAAGTCATGTTCTGGAAAGTTTTGAGATGAGGAGGCAGTCAGGAGGGGTGCCCTATGCCAAGGGTCACCACAGTCACACCAAAGTCTCTGGGGGATGGGACCTCAGAGCCAAGTCCTTCAGTCCTTTGTGAGGAGGCTGAGGAGGGAACTGGTGTGGGCCCCAGTCATACATCCCCTTGGGGCCACCTCAGCTGGTCACCACAGGCTGGCATGCATGCTAAGGATGTAGCCCATTTTACAGAT